CCTCCCTCCCTCCCTCCCTCCCTCCCTCCCTCCTTCCTTCTTCCTTCCTTCCTTCCTTCCTGAAGGGCTACAATAATTACTTCAGTCCCTATTATATTTATTTAGAGAATTATATTTATTAAATATAACTATGATTTAACATGATAGGCATGGGTCCCAACAGACATTGTATGACTCAACCTGAGATACCCATGATGAAGGTAAACTATGGAATGGTTTATATATAGCATTTGTGGTTTCGATGCCTTAACTTAGTCAAAATGAAAGCCATGGAAAGCGTAAGGCAGAATTGGAGGGCTTGGCATACTGCAAGGGGACCTCAAATGTGTCGAGCCAACACCTTCTATGTAAATCATCAGGTGACTGTACTCCACTAGGTCAAGGTCACCTGTTCATCAGGATCTGCTTTCATGGCAATTACTAAATTCAAAGAAGTAAAGGAATTTCCTGATATTGACAGATCCAGGTATATAAAATGTCTAAAGAAAAATATGCGTAGTCTTACAGCATCATATTTACTTTATATGTATGTACATCATCTGTAGTAGTGAAAATTAATATCTATCACTAAAATTCTTCATTGTGAAGCTTTTTTTCAATTTTTGCTTTATTTGAGAGTTTTCTAGTGTGTCTACTTCGACTACTTTTTTACAGTGTTCTTTTGCTTCCTCACAATGCAAACAGAGTCTGAGCATAAAAAACAATGGCTTTTAAAATGCATTGGAAAATGCTAGGGAGCCACACTGTTTGCTCTACCTGCTAAACTTTCTTAATAAAGTCAACAAAAAGCTTTCAAAGGTAGATCTTTACAGTAGCAAATGTCAGTGCAGACTTGTTAAACACAGAACAAACCTGCCTGCTATCGCAGGCATTCCACCTAAATTGACTAGGTGTGGTTTTTATTCATTGTTCAGTTGCACTGAACAGAATCTATTCTCTTGCTCTCATTCTTTGTAGGCTGGCATTCCCTTTATCTAGGGGCTTATAATAAGCAAGCTATATTCAATTTTCCAAAGGCAGATGCACTCTCCTGGTATCCTAGAAACAAATCAAAGTATGCTTTGTGGAAAGACCTGAGGTTCAAGCCAGTGATACAAATGGTTATTAATGTGTTATCACACAAACACAGGTCTGGAAAATTTTAAACAAAATTTGTTCTAACAACAAGTATCAAATTATTAGTAAGGGGATGATTAAAAGAGATAAAGAGAGCAGTTCATAAGAAAAGTAGATACCATAGAAATTAAACAAAATTATACATTACCTTGTACTATTGAGATCGGGATTCATATTAAAGAGATTTATTCCAAATGAGACTGGTAAATTTCACTTAAAATTGCACACACTAGCTCAATTACAACAGATCTACAAAAGCCAGTTCCTAGACCATAGAGGAGGAGCATATCAACCATCTCAGGATTAGATTTTTATGCACATAAAAGCTTCAGAAATTGATCTATATTAACTTATTATATCACAACAGCTATCACTAAATAATATGAGGTAGAAAAATTTCTAATTGTTCCCTGGGGGTCTTCCTTGTAATATTTATATAATGTAACATGCCATAAAGTAAATTGTACTTTGTTCAGTCCTATCAATTATCTTCTGAAGCCTGAGATCTGAAATTACCCCACTGAAGAGTAAAGAAAATACAGCCTATTATTACACTCATGGAGAACCAAATTAGAAAGCACAACCGAAGAACTTTCAAAATTCCATGATTGTCTTCCTCATTTCCTTTACAATGCCACTCCCTATTTGCCCAGTAGGAGCCATTTTAACCATTAATACATGGGAGTTGGAACAGAAAGGGTTGCACAGGCTGAATAGAAAGAATATAGTTGTCTTTCTTTCTTTCTTTCTTTCTTTCTTTCTTTCTTTCTTTCTTTCTTTCTTTCTTTCTTTCTTTCTTTCTTTCTTTCTTTCTCTCTCTCTCTCTCTCTC